GAGGGAGGGAGAGAGAAGAGAGATGAAGTCACTGATAAAATACTGCTTTGCTGGGGAGTAACATTTCACAGACGATGTCCTCCACTGAACTGATGTTGCTAATTTAAGATATATTCGTTTTCTGATCTTTGAAATATGAGTGGAAGGGTAGATCAAGGAAAAGCTTTTTTTTCAGGTACAGAGAAATTGTAGAAGCAGAAGGGCGATACAGGAAGATTGTACATAAGGAAATCCTTCTGGTCTTTCTTGCCTTAGGATATAACAAGTACAAATGTTCTCACCCTTGGTGAAAAAGGAACCTGAAACATAAGGGCACCCTAGCAAAGGAATGGTCAGCAGCTGTATGAGACTGAAAACATTAGTCCCTTGTATATCAGCAGCATGAGCAAGACCCTGTTTGTCATGCGTGCAAAAGGTCAAGTATTTTACACAAAAGTGTTTTTCAGAAAAGGGCAAGGTTCTCTGTGCAAAACACCTGATTTTCTGTTCAAAATTCAAGAGTTTGCTCTCTCTTTTTTGGCCGCACACACAAAACACAGTTTTGCAAACAATTTCTCACGCCACACTCCAAATCTATGCCAGAATGGAAAAGACACACAAAACTCTCAGCGTCTCAATCAACAGGGAGAAAACCTTTTTTTAAAAAACGTTATCCTCCAATGTGAGAATGGAATATAAAAATATTTGCATTCCTATAGAACTAAAGACCCTATGAGGAGCCAAACTACAAGCCTATGTAGCCCATCATCCTTTTTGCCCTGCTTAGCCAGAAGCCCCAGTAGGAAGCCCATAGGCAGGGCAAGAGTCCAGCAACCCCCTTTTCAGAAGTTTAATCCTGCCCTTGTTCCCCGGTAACTGACACTAATGCCTGTGATGCTGGAGGTAACCACAACGGACCCTACGTTAAGACAGAGATGTAGCAGGTGTGGCAGCGAAGTCTTGGAAGAAAGAGGTGCACACTATCTGGTCTGCCCATTTGTCAGTGCTTAAGAGGATGCTCTTAGTCCAGGAGACTTTTGAAAGGAGAAATGGGTGCCATCTTGGGCCGGTGCTAAATAATCATCCTGATAGTAGCCATTGCTAATTTTATCCACAATGCATTTCTCTCATCTCCTTTTAAAACCACCCCGACTAGTGGCCATCACATCTTGGGGAAGCAGACAGCATTATTTGACTATGCTCTGTATAAAGAAACATGTGCTTCTGTCTGTCTGGAATCCTCCATGTTAATATTAATTGGCCAATCTCGTGTTCCTATTAATACGACAGAGGTGGAAGGACTTTTCTCTAAGTGTACATTCGTTTGCAGAATGCTAACCTGGCTAGCTCACGAACATCCATGGGCATTAAGGAGGAGCGAAAAGGGTAAACTCTTTGATGTTATTTTTTTTCCCCCCCTTTCAAATGCTGGAAGCAATATCTCAGTGTTGTGCTTTTGAAGTAAACAGCTAGTATTTCTGTAGAAATGCGCTCTCGGTTACTGATGTGGCAGGGCTGTGCTGGAACAGAACCATAAGAAATTGAATCATCTTATATTGATCCATTTCGGCTCAATATATGAATACTCTACACATTTCTGGAAGCTTTTCTTCACCCTGGGAAGAGCCATTGATTCTTCTGCCTCATTTTCTGGATGCTTTAGAATTTCTTTTCTCTTCTTTGTGGTAGTTTTGAGCTTACCACGTTACCATGAGATGCAGTATTTGTTATTTTTTTCCCATTATATTATTGTTTTTCTTCTACATCATCTGGAGGATACAGGTTGCTCTACAGAGATTTCCAACCTGGGATTTTAGTTGTAATTTTTCATAGTTTGAAACACCTAGTCCCGCACTTAGACTTCTATGCCTCTTCCCTCTCTGACCCCCACTTTTTTTTACCATCTAGCCTGGTGAAGACTTCTATAACACTTGAAAGCTTGCACATTTACCAACAATCGAAACTGCTGGGGTGGCAGAGAGGTCTTTGAATTCAAAGGCAGGAGGGAATGACTGGTTAGTGGGTTGATAGTTGCCTCAACTCAGAAAGGTCCCTCCCAGTCACATCTACTAGAGCAGTGGTCCCCAACCTTGGGTCTCCAGATGTTCTTGGACTTCATCTCCCAGAAATCCTGGCCAGCAGAGGTGGTGGTGTAGGCTTCTGGGAGTTGTAGTCTAAGAACATCAAGAGGCCCAAGGTTGGGGACCACTGTATTAGAGGCAGCATGCGAGGTTGTAAAAACTGCAACAGAATCAGCCATGTTGGTTATTCAGAGAAATCACCATTCTGGAAGGCAGGTTTTATGCCACTCCTCCCTGCTCTGTGCCAGTGCATAATTGATCATGGCAAAGTTCATCGCAATAAGTCAACAAAATAAATAAAACAGAGTTGTTCTCATCGCATGCTGCTAGACTTCAATCAGGGAGGAAAAGAAATCCTGGCCTCTTCAAAGCACATAATGACATTTCTGCATTAATGTAATTCCAAATTAATATGGAGCATCTTATTCAACTGGCGAGAAGAGTCAGTGAATATGTGTTACAAATCAGTAAACAGCAAAGTTTGTGGATTCATCTGTAGGGCTGTTCAAATCGAGGCCATTGCCTTGGCTTGGTCTTTCCTTTCCTCCCACAGTAAAACTCAGCAAAATTTTGGAAACAAGCTACTGAGCAGAAAAGGAAAAGAGAAAGAATTCAAGATAGTCACCAACATTTCTGCTCGTTTCTCCCCCCGCCCCGCGCCAGCTCTGGGTTTATTTTTGGAGGCCAAAGATTGGTCTATGTCTAATGTTTCAGAAAATAACTTCAGTGTTTAAAGCAAGTGGGCCAGAAAACCAAGGCTCAACTAACATTTGTTAAGAGTGTGCATGCGCGTTTATGTCGGCTGAGTATTTCAGATGACAGTCAACTCAGGAACTGGAGGGTAGTTTTCTGTGTGCCTTGATGATAATGCAGACTGACAAGGTCAGAAAGATGATCCCGCGTAGCCAGTTTTACAGATCTGCTTCTCTCTGTGTGTACAGTTGCTTCTCAAGCGCCCCCTTTATATATATGTATATATTTCTTCTTAGAAATAAATTGGGGTGTTAAAATATGCAATTAGCGTGCCAACGATGTAAACTTGAAAGGTCCGTATGAATAAAACATCTTTTTAAAAGCCCTAGGTTTCAAATCATCTTGATTGCTTTTCTTCCCCCACCCTGGAAATATCCGCCGTTAGTTCAATGAGACGTTGGAAAAAATGACATTAAATACTCATTGCTGCAGCTAACGGCCTGGCCAATTATTACATCAGTTTGTTTATTCTGAGCTTCCCCCACCTCCCTCCACCTCATCCCAAGCAGCTCTTTGGATTACGTGGTTCAATGAGAGACAATCCCTGTGTCCAGACTTTAGAATCTAGAACTGGACACAACGAGTGGGGAGATCTGGGGGGGGGATGATGAAGAAAGAAGAAGAGTGAGAAACGGGGCAGGAAAACTGAATTGAACTTATTATAACTGGTTGTTATTTCAAGGACTTTCTTAAATGTGTTTGTTTGTTTGTTTACTGCCCAACTTAGTGCAAAGCACTACTATCCATTAACAAAAGACATTAACATCTATCTATCTATCTATCTGTCTGTCTGTCCGTCCGTCCGCCCGTCCGCCCGCCCGTCCGCCCACCCGTCCGTCCGTCCGTCCATTCGTCCGTCCATCTAGTCTATCTGTCTAGTTTATGTCTGTCTGTCTGTCCATCCGTCTGTTTTGTCTGTCTGTCTGTCTCTCTGTCTGTCTGTCTATCCATCTAGTCTATCTGTCTAGCTTATCCGTCCATCTATCTGTCTCTCTGTCTGCCTATCTGTCTGTCTGTCTAAAATATTTTTACCCCACCTTTCTCCTGAAAAGGACCCAAGGCAGCTTACAGCCATTAAAAGACAATAGTTGAAAGCTAAAAACAATGTGTACACATATTTTTTAAAAAAATTAAACAAGTATTATATAAAAAATGGTCACACTAAAATTAAATCATGTAAACCTAGACAAGGCAGTAAAAGTAGCTAATGATGGTGTTCAGGTGAAGTAATACCGAATCCTCCTGTCAACTCAGGGAAAGATGTTATTTAACAAAAGCTCGGTATTCAGCAACATCTTGAAAGTACAGAAAGATGGGACTCGATGCACCCCCAGAGGGAGCCTGTTCCATAAGGAAAGGGTCACCTCTGAGAAGGCTCCATTTCTGGAAGAAGCCTCTCAGTCCTCTCTAGGAGTGGCCACCTGCAATAACAAGGTTTGCCAAGACCAAGGCGGGCAAGCAGAAGTTCTTACATGGAGGCGAAAACAATGTTAAGGCAGCTACAATGGTAAATTTCTGCAATTGCTATCTTGCGCAAATTAGCACAAAAATTGTTCCACTAAGGCAAGACCTCATCTTGATCCCTGCAGCAAAACTCACAGTGTCGTACAGGTGAGGAAAAAAATATCTACAGTTCCTCATTCTCATGCACAAGAACGAAACAAGCTAGGATGGATCCCCGTAGAACCAGCTATGGGTTGAGTTTCCTTTCGGAATAGAGATGGGCACAGACTGCAGTTCGGCGGTTCAGCCTGGTTCGCTGTGGCACCACAACAGTGTTCCACGGGCACGGCATCCTTCCCTGCCCAACCTCATCTGCGCGACCACCCACTCAGAGGCAGCGCCACGGGCTTCCCTGCTCCACCTCCTCCTCTGAGTAGGCAATTAGCCAAAGGAGGCAGACGAGAGAAGCGTGCGGCACTGGCAGAACACCTGTGCGGGCGCCGTGCCAAACCATGATTCGTGCCCATCTTCCGAATCGAGAGCCAAACAGGCGATCCCTTTTTTGTTAGAAACTATGCACGTTGTGGAAATGATGACCATTTTGCCAGTGATGCCAAATTGCCATTTTCCCTGTTCGCTTAGCATGCACGGAGCCTTTTCGAGTGCAAAGTTACTCTTTTTGTTAATGAGTACCAGAATGTTAATTGGTTTCCTCTTTCACATTTTTTTTTTGTTCCTCTCCAGGCGATCTGAGGCCAGTTTCTATGCCAACGGAGTACAGCTGGGTAGGAGATTCAAAAGAACTGAATATGTTCAAGAGGGGTAGCCGAGGTGAGCACTTTTACTTCTGCATGTGCACAAACACAAGAAGGATCAACATTCCTCCGTCTTCTTTCCAACCTTTGCATCCACTTCTCCTGAGCATGCATAAATACATCGGGGAGAGAGAGAGAAAGAAAAAAAAGTCTTTGGCTTAATTGTACATAACGGCACTCACCTGCACTTATCTTTCTCCAAAACCATGAAACAACCTTTAAGAACTGCTGTTGTTTCTATTACATTTCTATTGAATTTCCCATTTCCTGCCTCTACACATGTCTATAAGTGTCTTATGCCTTCTCCCCTCTTCTTCATCTTCTTGCTCTTCATTTTTCTCCTACCAGAAAATAGGTTTCACCATTGCTATCATGGGTCCAGTTGCAACAACCCATTATTATTGTTTTTTGTATATAAAAACAAGCATATACTGAGCATTATACAAATCATTTTAACTCAAAAATACAACACAAAAACATTTTAAAAAGCAATCAGGATGGCAGAATCAATAACGTAGGTGCTGGTAAGTACTCTGTGTTCTATTGATGAAATTGTGATTTTGTGCGGCACCCAAATCAGCCTTCAAAGCTCTTCATCCAAAACGTTGGTCTCTTTCCTCCACTTTTTCCTCGTTTTTTTTAAACACTTTCAATTATTAGTTTAATCATCTGTACTTTTTGCTCTTGTCTTCTGACTTGAAATACATTAAAACATTTTAAAACACTTGACACAATTTAACAATTAGGAGAAGATTAAAATAGACTAGAGCCGTATTATCTCTAATTATGAAATGTGTGGGCAAACAGCCAAGTTTTAATATGGTACCAAAGTAGAGACAGCGCTGGTGCCGGCTGGACTTCTGAAAGTAGGGTGTTCCATTCCTGGGGTTCTGCAGTTGAGAAGCATGCCCGGTGTCCCCACATAATGCTCCACTCTCGATCATGAGACAGGGAAGAAGGTTCTCCCAGAGGATATTAGTGGTCAAACACTTCCTCAGCTTGTTTGTTGTTTAGTCGTTAAGTCATGTCTGACTCTTCATGACCCCAAGGACCAGAGCACGCCAGGCCCTCCTGTCTTCCACTGCCTCTCGGAATTGGGTCAAATTCATGTTGGTAGCTTCGATGACACTGTCCAACCATCTCATCCTCTGTCGTCCCCTTCTCCTCTTGCCTTCACACTTTCCCTGGAAAAGACACATCAGGGTCTTTTCCAGGGAGTCTTTTCTTCTCATCAGATGGCCAAAGGATTGGAGCCTCAGCTTCAGGATCTGTCCTTCCAGTGAGCACTCAGGGTTGATTTCCTTTAGAACGGATAGTTTTGTTCTCCTTGTAGTCCAGGGGCCTCTCAAACTATCTAGGACCTAAGTTACTTAGGGCTTTCAAAGTCATTCCTGAACATCTAGTTTTGTTCTCCTTGTAGTCCAGGGGCCTTTCAAACTATCTAGGACCTAAGTTATTCAGGGCTTTCAAAGTCATCCTGAACATCCTGAATTTAGGCTGGAATGGATTAGCAAATCTCTCAGACCCAGTGCGGACACAGTTTGCAAAAGCTGGAGCCTATTAGTCATGCTTCAGCATTTGTACAGTCCTCGTGTCGTCTAAAGAGAAGTTGCCAGTGTGTGAAGTGTTGTGGTTAGACTGTCCCTGCCCAAGAGTGCCCATAGCTGCTGGACCAATCCAAGGTGTCTCCCGACACTCCTAGCCACTGAGTCACCATGGGCCTCAGTGAGAATGATGGACCTAGGAGATGTCCTCCATCCTATGCGGGTGTTTCTTCAAAGGAGAGCCATCCCATCCAGAACATGTTGGTTAGTCTACCCAACTCCTGAACATGGGAACCCCCAAACCATAGATCCTCCACCCAATTCGGATTCCATTTCAGTTTATTGGTTCTCACCCAGCCAATTACAATACCCAATAATGGTTAACGATGATGGTGGGAGTTGTAGGAAAAAGGTTTGAGGACCAAAAAGGAAGCAAGATTTAGGCTGAATAGCAGGGGGGACAAAACTCTTAACTGCTAGAGCACTACAACAATGGAACCAATTACCTTGGTGAGCACTCCAACACCGGAGCATTGAAGAGGAAATTGTCCAACCCTCTGTCAGATTTGCTTTGATTTGGATCCCTGCATTGAGCAAGGGGTTGGATTCAATGGCCTTACAGGCTCCTTCCAGCTCCATTATTCTGCGATTCTATGAAAAAATTGGAAAAGTCTGTTTTTGCAGTCATCCTAAAATTTCCCTTCAGGTAAAAGTCAGTGGTGATTCAACTAAGTCATAAGTTACTGAGTCAAGGGCTAGTGTCTGTAGATATCTCTCTGGGGAAACAACAGAGCTGATCTGCATTTTGTCATTTGGGTGCTGTACCAAACAGCAGTTTTAAGTAGGCTTGGTGTGCTAAGGAACTGCAATTTTAAACAGCCTCCCTGTTTCTTGAAAAATAAGCTCTTTCATTCAATAGGCTGTGAAGATCTGATAGAAGAGCTGTTTCATTTCTCGGATATCTTTGCACCTTCAGACCTAAAGATACTCACTTGTGGCTTGAAAATGTCAAATTATATCGGAGGCTTCTCCGTTTGCATACCCACAAAGCTGTGCTTGGATTTTTATCAGCCTCCAACAGAAGCTAGCGCACTTGGATAGCTCCATTTTTCTCCCTTTCCTCTCTCAGACTCTGAGAACTCACTCCTTCGATACCTGAGTGATGACAAGATTTTGGTGATCCAGGAAGAGCCGTCAACTCAGAAGGACAACAAGCGGGATACCGGCCGGAGATCAAGGAAAAAGGGCAAGAATAGTGGAAGCCCCAACTATCTCATCAGTCCGTCCATGTTGACCTCATCTGTTAACGTCCGACTTGAACCCGGGCAGCAAGACGTCTTGAATTTCTCCTTAGCTGAAAACAACACTGTGCCACTTTATCATGTAAGTCCCCTCTGTGCACCATTTTATTTTGAGCCTTTAATCTTCCTGAAAACTGCAGGTTAAATCCAGTTGTTTGTCCTAATTATATTGTAATCATGAAATGAATGCAACTTGTTCAATTTAAACTGAGTAATCTTGCATTGATTCAGTGCCAGGTTAAATCCAGTTGTTTGTCCTAATTACATTGTAATCATGGAATGAATGCTTGTTCAATTTCAACTGAGTAATCTTGCATTGATTCAGTGAGTTTTATTTAGGGGCCAACAACAAAGTTAAATTGCATAATTATGTCGTATATGTACAGTAGGACCCCCGTATCTATGGGACAATTTCACTTATCCACCGTCTGAAAACATTAAAATAAAAAAACTAGAAATATGTATTTCCATGATATATTTACCAGAACTGGCCACTAGAGGGAACGGGAAACCATGCTATGTGTTCTTGTCATTCAAGAATACAAAGCATGATCTCTCACTCCCTGTAGTGGACAGTTCTGGTAATCCATGTGAAAATAGTTTTTTCTGGATTTTCTTTCTACTGTGCTATGTATCGTGTTCACTATTATCCACAGTTTTCAGCATGGGGGGGGTTAGAACCAATCCCCTGTGCATATGGGGGGATCTCTACAGTTGTATATGGGGTGCATTTCTGGATTACATACAACCAAAGGAAACCATCAAACTTCAAGTTTAAAAATAAAAATACAATAATACAACATTGCAACATTTAGTGTAAATGCATTGCTACTCCTACATAACACTAGTAGACGTAATTGCTCAATGTCAGCACTTATGTAAACCCCATTGATTCAGTGGATCTACTCTGGTGAAGAATACACATTAGATTTAGGCCATTACAAGAAACTTTTTTTAAAAAATTAAAAATGCAAATAATAGAGTGCATTCAGATATAATGTAGTCAGTCTAAAATTAATTTCCAAGCTCGATAACAACAACAACAAAGGAGCATAACCAATAAAGCAGGTCAGTTAAAAGCCTTAAAGAACAGGTGGTATTTCAAAGGGATTTTAAAGACTGCAGATGGACAAGCCAGCGAGTCATTCATTTAACAACATGGAAGGACGTTTCTCAATGCAGGAGGCAGGACTGGGAAGGTCCTCTCCTTAGTCCCTATCATGTATTTGATTTTTTAATTAATTAATTAATTTTAATTTAGGTTCAAGAGTATGCAAGGAAACAAGGGTGTGTGATGGTTTCCTTGAAGCGCGTAATTCCTTCCTATTTCCCCCTCTCTCTTTTCTTTCTTTCTTTCTTTCTTTCTTTCTTTCTTTCTTTCTTTCTTTCTTTCTTTCTTTCTTTCTTAAGACACTTTTTCGTTTTGTTTCCATTTGCAAATTTGTGATGTTTGTTCTCACTGGGCGCCGAGGAACATTTTGAGGAAATGGAAGGGGGGCCTGAAACTCCCAACCTCTTCGTATTTTTTACTTTGTTTCTTCCAGGCATTTTCGTGTGCTTGTGATTTTAGGGTATCTGGGCCCACGGGAGAGCCTATAGAAGCGGGAGGCTCCCCTTGCCACCTCCGGCATCATGTTGTTGCTGCTATTGTTGTTGTTGTTGTTGTTGGCTACCTATTCTCCCTTCTCTTTCTGCTCCTCATCTTGTGATCGATTACCCTCGGTTTGCCTTGTCTGTGCAGTGACGGTTACTACTATACCTATGTCAAACGTGAACCCCAAGGGCTGCTATGGTGTCATTTTTAATTATCCAGACCTTCCTCTCCCCAAAATAAAAACAACACTCTATCATTTAGTCTTTTCTACATACGGTAATGGCTTTTTGCTGTACTAGACAACTGTGAATTCAGGTTAAGTGCTTTTGAGTCTGGTAAGGTTCATACCCAAACTATCCATGACCCTCATGATCATGTCTCCTGGATTCAGTTTGCCTTTCCCGTGAAATGAATCTTGTGTCTCAATGGTAGTGGTTGCTTTCTGCCAAGTGGGTTTGATTTAAATCATGATTTTTGGCTGATTTAAATTTTTTTAATGGTTTGTTTTTAAGTTTTAATTGTGATTTAACGCATGATTTAAATCAATTAGATTTTTAAACATCATTGTTTTTTTATCCACCCTGCCTTCTGCATCTTCCAACATGCTCCCCTTAGATGCTAGCTGGATTGGGGGGGGGGGGTTATATGGAATGGCAACAGCCCGATACTGCTTCTCCCAGGACACAGCCATCAGCTGTTCTGAATAAAGATATGGTGTAAACCTTGAGTTTACTTAGAGGATAGTAAGTCTAACGGACAGGGACGTGGTGGCGCTGCGGGTTAAACCGCAGAAGCCTCTGGGCTGCAAGGTCAGAAGACCAGCAGTTCAAATACATGCAACAAAGTGAGCTCCCGTCACTCGTCCCAACTCCTGCCAACCTATCCGTTCGAAAGCATGCAAATGCAAATAGATAAATAGGTACCACCTCGGTGGGAAGGTAACAGCGTTCCGTGCCTAGTCGCGCTGGCCACATGACCACGGAAGAGTGTCTTTGGACAAACGCTGGCTCTACGGTTTGGAGACGGAGATGAGTGCCGTGCCCTAGAGTCAGACACGACTGGACTACATGTCAAGGGAACCTATACCTTTAACCTAAGTCTAATGGATGACTTAAATGTCCTTTGCAAAGAAGGTGTGCAGGAAGAAAACTGGACCGTATTGGGTTTGGCGACTGTGACTAGTTGTGAGACTTCAGTTGTTGTTTTTTAACTACAACTCCCAGAATCCACCAGGAATTTCCCGCAGGCTGGATCCTGTAAGATGCCGCTCAGAACCAGTAGTTTAAAGAGGAACTTTGCTCACCTCCGTGTGGCATGCCATCCCCATTTGTTTCAGCCTTTCAAAAAGGAGGAAGCAGCTCCCGGTGGTGCTCAGGAGTGGTGTAAGGTTTCAGGGGCATTCTCAGTGGAGCATGGGATGTGTAGTCTCACTGCCTATTCGGCTCTGTAGAGGGAGCCTCTTGAAGCACTGCTGCGGCAATGTCTGGGGGTTGCAGTTCAAAAAAAGAAACAAACGTTAACTCCTTCGGCCTCCTGATTTCACCTCACAATAACACCCCCCTGTCCTTTGCCCCCCATGGGCCACCAGACACCTCTATGGGGCTACTCTTTGCCATTTTATTCTTTAAGAACCCCATGAAACTGGCCGTGTTGACAGAGAGCAACCAAACCTTCCTTCCGATGCCAAAGCTATGAGCAAAACTCTGCCCTTGCCCGAATATAATGGAGAAGAGCTTGTTGTTGTTGTTTTAAAGAAACGTCTACCAGAACTCTTGTTAGGCTGAGCTTTCCAGCCCAGTTTTACTTCATTGTATTTCTTCAGTTGTGGTTGTTTCCCAGACCAAGACCGCACCACACGCGAGGAAATGAAATTGCAGTTTTATTGTCTCTTAAGACAGGACAGTGAACCTTACCAGGGTATTGACATGGTAAACCAACCATCTCTAACAGGAGATGATGCTTTTCTCCATCCTTGGTTGCTCTGTGCCCATCTTTTTAGGTCAAAAGGAAGAAAAAAAAAGACTCAGGGGGTGAAGAAGTCATTTTCTGCAAATGCAACAGGGGAGACAAGCACTAGAGTTTAATCCATCACCACGCTGAGACGATCTCGTCATCGAAAAGAACATCGAGAAAAATCATATTGCTCACTTGAACCTCATAATTGCAATTTACAACTTTGATTCAACCACTTCAAAGAGGTCACAAATCTCTGATGCCTCTGTGTCAAATATATATAGCGCTGATCTAATTGGTAGGGGAAGAAAATCAATGCCTCTTGGTGAACCTTAAGATAATGAACCACCATGCAATCGACAACAGGAGTGGATGGAAGTGGATGGGGGGAGTGATGCACGAACAACACTCTTGCAACTTCTTCCAAGCTTCAGTGCCATGTTGCGTTGTTGTGTCTTTACATCCAGAAGGGGTGCAGATAAATTTACTGGCAGCAGATATCCAGTAGATTTCTTTCACCAGCTGGTAGCCCTTTTCCTCTTAAAGCCAATGGATAAATTAATCATAGAATAATGGAGTTGGAAGCAGCCTATCAGGCTACTGAATCTAACCCCCTGCTCAGTGCAGGAATCCTAATCAAAGCAAATCTGACAGAGGGTTGTCTAATTTTCTCTTGAATGCTTCCACTGTTGGAGCGCTCACCACCTCCCGAACTTCTTGGTTCCATTGTCATACTGCTCTAACAGCTAAGACTTCTTTGTGCTATTCAGCCTAAATCTGGCTTCCTGTAACTTGAGTGTAGTATTATGTGTCCTACACTCTGCAATGATTGGGAACAGATCCTGCCCCTCCTCTGTACGACTACCTTTCAACTATTTGAAACGTGCTATCATATCTCTCCTTCCGTCTTCTTTTCTCAAGGCTAAAAATAAAAAGCCCAAGGCTAAATAAGGCCTCCTCTGAAACACAACCTAAGACCACACTACCACCACTAATCGGTACAGGTGTGTGCTTGTTCATTTATATCCTGCCTTTCTTTCAAGACATAGATCCAGAGCAGCTTACAAAAATGATTAAAAGTCAGATGGCCTTGACAAATGGAATAAGACACATTATAAAAATCTTAAATGAAGATCAGGTTTGGATTTAACGCTATGGAAAGCACGTCAGAAGAAAGTGGAAATGGAAAAGTTCAGCATCCCATTAAAAGCCACTTCTTCCGCAGCCGGTGAGCTTCCCAAAATTTGTCTAAATTACCAGGTATGGATAAGTAACGGGCAACGAGAGACCAGGCTGCCTCGCCCACTCGTTTTCCTAAACTATCTTTTTCATACGGAAACTGAGGTTTCATACCAAAATCGTTATCTTCTTAACTGTTAGAGCAGTACAACAATGGAACCATGTACCTCGGGGAGGGGGAGGGCACCAGTTCTGGAGGCATTCGAGACAAATTTAGAAAACTACAATACCTGGCAGATATCCCTCGATTTGGATTCCTGCCTTGAGCAGGGGGTTGGCCTTCATGGCCTTAGAGG